AGGTTTTGTATTTTGCTAATGTATATAGGCTACAGTTCGGATCCACAATGGAACGGGATGGTTTCATGTTTGAATATCCCAAAGCAGAAAGAATGACAGGAAATCATCAAATACTTGTATCCATGAAGTGGTATCCAGGATGTTCCTGATTTGACATCATTTGCTTGCAGACACACGTAAGTAATATTGAGGTAACAAACACTTGCAGTGCTGATATAACTGCCTTCTGTATCTCTCTGTAGGTCCAGGGACAGCCTCTAATGGTCCAGGTGAGTGGAGGGCAGCTCATCACATCATCAGGACAACCCATCATGGTGCAGGCCATGTCGGGGGGTCAGGGTCAAACCATAATGCAGGTCCCTGTATCTGGAGCCCAGGGACTACAGCAGGTAAGGGATACGGTTCAGGCACTAGATTAAGATCTTTATTCAAATTGTACCACATTATCCTGTACAAGTACATAGTGTTCCTTATATTTAAGTATGAAAACAACATTGTGATATGACTGTCATTTAATAATCAGTTCCTGTTAATGTTTCTGTTGACAAATGCTTCTTATGCTTCTTTTATTTATGTAGGTGTCGTTACTTTTTGTGAGGCCGTCTAATTCAGAGTGTCAGAAAATAAGATTCTTTACAGTATTTGTGTCACTGTAGTTAAATGGAAATGAACCACTGCTAGGATATGCTGAATCTCATTGAAAAGTGAACCGAGTCTGAACCAATCTGTGTGTGGTACTGTGTCCATGTGTAGATCCAGCTGGTGCAGCCAGGTCAGATCCAGCTGCAGGGTGGACAGACTCTCCAGCTCCAGGGCCAGCAGGGTCAGCCGCAGCAGATCATCATCCAGCAGCCCCAGACAGCCATCACAGCTGGACAGAACCAGGTGTTTATTTCCAACCGGTTGACTGGCAAATCCATTTAATCACACAGCTATTGATGTGATTACCGAGTGTCTTCTCTCCTTACTTGTGGCTCCACAGGGGCAGCAGATCAGCGTGCAGGGCCAACAGGTGGCACAGACAGCTGACGGACAGACCATTGTCTACCAGCCTGTTAATGCAGATGGTACCGTCCTGCAGCAGGGTAAACTCAATATTCTCCTATTTTTTGTGTTTGCTTTCTGCTTTGTAGACTTTATAAACATGAGCACTGTTGAGTTGTCTTCTTGAATAAGAATTCTGATGGTAAGCTATTTGCAGGAATGATCACAATTCCAGCTGCCAGCTTGGCAGGTGCCCAGATTGTACAGGCAGGGGGTGCCAACACCAACACTACTAACAGCGGCCAAGGCACTGTGACCGTCACCCTGCCCGTCTCTGGTAACATGGTCAATGCAGGTGGAATGGTCATGGTAAGACCCTGTGCAGAGGTACCGAATATCTTATTACCTTTTTTTTCTTTTCAAATATAGACTCACAAGGGTGTGCGATGTAGCGGAGGAGCTTTTTTAAGAGCAACAAATTGAATCATTTATCAATTTATAATTTTAGTGCTAATTATAACTGAGAGACTGTAATAATGTATTTAATTTCTTCCTAGTGGAGTCATATTGTTATAATTAATAATGTGGTTATACTTAATTCAAAAAGCTGATCAAATTAACACCGATTTTTGAGTTTTAGTCTACTTTTTAGTTCAGTTTATTCAACCATGTCATTTATTTTAGTGACTGTTACTATGTTTAGTTAAGGCCCTTAACATCCATTGTCCACCCACATAGGTGTTTTCACTTATTCAGCCTGAATAGACCTCTTTTGAAGACTGTATGGGTGTTTACAGACTGTGTTTGATTGACATCTCCTTCACCTCTACTGTTCATGTTGGGGTGGGACAACTTGAACCTTTATGATTTTTAACAGTTCAGGCTATTTGGTGATGCGATACCCAGCATAACTCCACCCAGGGTCCCCCTGTATAGAATCTTATATCTTATATATATCTTATATCTTTTCAGCTAGAATGACTGAGAATACCTCTTTGGGTGTGCAGGGCCTCTAACATGAGACCTTAAATGTGAACGCTGCATTGTGATATACACCGATCAGCCATAACATCATACCAATGACAGGTGTGGGAAAATGGGCAGCGTAGAGGATTGAGGTCAAACTTTGTGATGATGTAACTGGTTCAAGCATACTCAAAACTGCCAGCTCTTGTGGGGTTTCCCCGGTCTGCAGTGGTCAGTACCTATCAAAATGTGAGCCAGAAAGGAAACTGGAAACAGGGTCATGGGGGGCCCAGGATGATTGAAGCACGTGGGAAGTGAAGGCTGGCCGTGTGGTCCGATCCAACAGATGAACTACTGTAGCTCACATAGCTGAAAATTTTAATTCTGGTTCTGATAGAAAGGTGTCAGTTTGTTGTTTATGGGTCTGCACAACACCTGGGCACATTGGTGGCTATAATGTTATGGCTAATCGGTGTAGTATTTTGTATTAGTATTGAATAACAGCCTCATTGATGCGTTACTGGTTCAACTATTTGCTTGTTTGTGTCAGTACGATGACATACATGTATGCTTTCCTTGCCTGAGCCCTTCTAAGCACTGTGTACCTGTTTGTGTGTCTCCCTCTATCAGATGGTGCCTGGAGGTGGTGGAGTTCCCACAATGCAGCGTATTCCTTTGCCAGGGGCTGAGATGCTTGAGGAGGAACCTCTGTATGTCAATGCAAAACAGTACCATCGCATCCTAAAGCGAAGACAGGCCAGAGCCAAGCTGGAGGCTGAGGGAAAGATCCCCAAAGAACGGAGGGTAAGCCCTTGTTCCTTTCTTCACCAGCTACTCGTTTATTTTCTACCATTTCATGTAGCTACTCATTCTGTATATCATCTTGTGCTGTGGATGTAGCTGCCCAGGAGTTCCAATCCTGCCACATTACAAGGAGTCATTAATTCAAGGGAAATATAAAAAATACCCCTGATAAATATTTTAGAAATTGCAAAAAAATAAATAAAATCGTATTTCACTTACTGCTAGTTGTATAAAGCCATGTAAACTCTGAAAAGGATATCTCAAAAAGTGCCTTGTTTAGATCCCACGAGAGGCAAGAAATAAAATGGGCTTTGTTTTTTGGGGATGGGTGAAGTGACCTTTCAACTAGTACTGGTACAGAGATGACACAATGCATTCACACTATTAACTGGTCATAATCCAATACATCCAATTTCACTTTGGCAGAAATACCTACATGAGTCTCGCCACCGTCATGCTATGCAGCGTAAGAGAGGAGATGGAGGAAGATTCTTTTCACCTAAGGACAAAGAGGAAATGGCTCTTGCCCTGGCACAGGTAAGAAGCTGCGTGTAGAAAAACATATTACTGATTCAAACCTGTAAATACGTTTATAAATTGTCAACAAAGATTTTTTTTATTTATTTCTAATTTGTGTGAAATTATCTGTCAATTTGTTGAGATCTCATTTAAGAATGAAATGAATAATTTCTCCTCCTCTGGCACAGCAACAGCAGGAAGCAGCCCAGGCAGCAGCAGATGAGTCGGTGGCTCAGATGATCCGAGTCTCGTAGCACTGTCGCCAAACATCATCACTTCTGCCTGTGAACTCTACCCTGCCTGAGATTCTTCATCCCAGCTAACCCATCTGCCGCACGTTCTCCTCTCCCATTTACACCCTCCCTGCCCCACCGTCATACACCAGACCGCAGCACTGCCACTGGGTTTCTTCTGTTATCTTCCCACTCCTACACTGGTCTTCCAGGGAGCTGGCCATGTGGCCCGCTGAGCCGTTGGACTGCTCAGGATTTCTTTCTGTCAAATAGAGGATGCTTCCATGGTCAGCTTAACTGGTCGAGCACTTAGGACCAGCTTTTTATTTTTTCATAAGGATTTGTTTGGACAATAATGAAACATGAAGTTATGGGTAAACGGGGCTAGTAACACAGAGGAAATGACAGCTGTGAAGCCATACTCTGTCAGACTCTGGTCTGTTAAAAAAGAAAAGAAAAGAAAAAAGAGATTTTGTCATTAGTGGATTCTTGTTGCTTTAAATATTTTTTGTAAATGGTACAGATTTTTTTCAGAGACATTCATTAAGCGTTGATGCTACACTTGTGTCCTATCTCTTTTATGTGATGCCCTGTGTTTTGACATTTTATTTTTTTCAACCCATGTACTGTGGGGGGATGGACTCATAAGTCCAACCTGTGTCCACTGAGCAAAAACTGAAATGTGATACAAATGTGAAGATATTGTACAGAAATTCTTTTCTTCCCCAGTGTGTATCAAGTGTATTTACTAATTTGCCCAGTTCTGTGGATGCATTTTATACAATTTCGTGGTTAGAGATAGTGTTTGTAAGAATAAATGACTCGGTGTTGCATCATATTTCATATACTCTCCATGTAGTTACTTCTTCACTGGTGTTAAGTTTATTTCATTGTAGATAATCGTTTTTTTACCCATCAGATGCAGTTCTGCAATGTTATTTTTTTTTTTATATAATGAAAAAAAAAAGGTTGGACTTTGAATTCATGAAACCTATGTCCATTAAATTTTATTAAGTGACTCAAGGTTATTTGTGGTTACTTTACTCCCAGTCTTGGTTAAGTCTTAATAAATAACAATAAATGATAGTTGATTATATATTTTCTATATACATTTTAAATACCATATACAGTGGAATCAAAAGTACAATAATTACTGTTACAGTGTAGTAGAATACAAGTATGAAGTAGCATAAAACAAATGGTAAATTAAAGTACAAATATTTCAATAGTGTTAAGTATAATGGAGTAAAGCTTCTGGTACTTGTGATGTTACAGTTGTACATTGAGCAAATTATAGTTAAGACAATTTGTTACATAAATAACAACATAAGAACAATTTAATTTCTGGATATGACACAAATAAATGAAGGTGTTTGACCCTGAGCGAGACTTCCCAGGTTAAACACTGTCCCAGTCACGCTCAGCCAATCAGACGCAGTAGATTACTGACGTCGTTACCACGGCCAGCCAATCAGAGCGGAGGAGGCGGGACTTGCATCCTAGCAGACTCGACTCAGGGCCGCACAGATTCCTCCCGATAGAAACAGTGGCGACTGACAAACAGTAACGATTAAAAACTATTGTAAGTTAATGAACCTGAACTAGCGCCACGTTACACGAGTAGCGAGCCTCAGCCGTGTTACCTCTCTCCGTTGTTGTCCTCCTCCGCACCGGCGCTGACCGGATGCTCACCGCCTACACTGCCCACTCGCTCAGGTGACAGCCTCAACAAACCGCCCCCCTCCTCTGGGAGATGTTGCTGTCTGTGGATGACAGCAGACCCCGGAGGACCGAAACAAGCGTCTGTGCCGCTCTTTTAGGAAGTACTGAAGCCCGGAAACAAGGTTAATCTCTCTTGAAGCTGGGCTACTTATCGGTCGAGGTCTAGTGGAAGTGCTTCAGCGCCGTTTCGGTCATTTTAAAGCCACGAAGCTTAACGGAGAGAGCAAAGAGACAGACAGACAGACAGACAAAGCTGCCGTCGGTCTGAGCTCCATTCACAACCGGCTTCTTTCCTCTTTCCTCCACTAACACTGTCAAACACCACCTGGATGCAATGACCGACTCGGTTGTGGACAGCAAGGCGGAGGTTAAACAAGCCACGAAATATGTCAAAGAGACCGAAAACGTTGCTGAGAAATACTCAGCGATGACTGTGAGCAAGAACAGCAGTGATGTGAATATGAATGTCGGGGAAATGCCTTCCGCAGCGTTCACCGCAGTCCCCACTCTGAAATCCGTCAAGAAGGTAAGAAACGTGATGCTCGCCATCACTCACTGTGGCAAAGACACCGTGTGTGTGTGTGTGTGTGTGAGGAGGATAAATCCACATTGGTACGCATTGTACTGCAGTGAGGTACTTCTACTGTAAAGCAAGGCCAGGCAGAGTACTTTGTGTCTGCCTGTGTGTGTGTGTGTGTGTGTGATGTATCAAGTATTCATAGGGCACATCTGCATTTGACAGCAGAGAGTATTGATGCACTGGATGGATGTGATGCTGCAGTGTCACATAAAACAGTCAGTGTATGTTACAGCCATCCCACTGAGGGATCACTGCATGGGAAAAAAATAGTATTCACTGTTTAAAATAGAGTAGAATCCGTCAGTCAGGCCACAAAGACAAGCTTTGTGTCAGTACATGTCTAATCATAGCGTTTACTATGTTATTACTTGTGTAACAACATATAATTTCAATGGAGCTTTTCATCAAGGCGGGATTATTGTTCAAAATCTGCCGTCCTGTTTATTTAAATCACAATGTCTGCATTCTGTAGGCAGGAAACAACCAAAAGCCAAGTTGAGCTCTTAAACCTCTGATTCAAGGAGCAAAGTGAAGAAATGCACAGCCTAACAAACCTGGGCTTAGACAGGGGGTCTGCACACAGTATGAGCTGTGTAATGAGCTGCAGGCGGAAGAATGTCAATCCGTACTGAATTGCAGTCACACAGCTTTGAATTGTTTTGAACGGTGCACGGTTGTGGAGGTTTAATTTATACCTTGTGAACTCATCCTTATTTATGATATCAGTCTTGGATTTGTTCTGCTGTGTGTGTGTGTGTGTGGGCATCATGATTGTTAGTAATAAGAGCAGCGTGATAAAAAATGCATCAGCAGCACAGGGTGCACCTGTGAGAAAAAAGCCCTTCGGTTTCCTGGCTGTTACACAACATACAGAACAATCCTCAGACTGAAAGACTCCCTTGAGGTGGCGGCTCGTATCATTACAGATCCACCACCGTGTGTAACAGCTGGCGGCAGGCAGTGGATGAACACGGAGCACGCAGTGGATTGAAGGCTTCTAACTAACCGGTTCAGGTGTTGGAAAGAAAAGACTCATGGTGAACACTTTGTACCCAGACTGTGTCACACTGTCTCTGGGACATTGATGCTATTCTATACAACCTGAATGTGAAGCCCTTCTCTGTCCCTCAAGGTGACCTTTAACTTGTGACCATGGTCCTTCTTACCCATGATCCATCAGTGTGTTGATATTAGGGCCTGATATATGAAACAATATAGGTCAGTATACTGGCAGGTATATCAGCAGATCTCTTGATATCCTTATTTTTTAATTTAATTTGAATGTATTGTGCTACTGTTTTATTTCCACTGAGGCTGTACAAGATGTGTCATCCGGCCTCGTAAATTCTTTCATGTAATCTTAATGCTGTCTGTTTAATATTGCTTATGATTCCTCATTTAAACAATTTGGGATGTTTGTGGCTTGTTTGTGCTTCTGAATGTTGCCTTAAAAACTAAATAAAAAAACAAACAAAAATTATGATAATGTTGCTAACCAGACCTCTTGTCAAGTATTGCTGCGTTACAATAACGATTGTCTGAAATTGTGTAGAAATCAGTATCCCTGCAGGGCAACTAATCACAAGCAGATCAGAATTTTTGGTGACTAAAAGACTAAAAGAATATAAACTGTGGCGGCTGTAAATTACTGGACGTCCCTGTATGCATTACATCTCTTGCAAAGCTCGTCCTTATGTAACAGTGTTTAACTGATTAAATGTCCCCTGTTAAACAAACTAACAAAACGAATGCAGCCTTGTGAATCATAATTCTTAAATGCTCTCAACTAAAAATCATCAAGCTTGTTTTTACTAGTGGGCTAATATTTTATAATGTATGGTGTCCCATTAACCGTTACTAGTCAGTAGTGTTTATTTCAAATGAAATGTCTCGTCCTGTGTAGCTGCCTTTGTGATTTGATTGCACCAGAGTTCAAATCTTTGGTGTAAGTATGAGAAAAGAGGTTGACATAATACCCAGAATAATAAAAATATCTATTTTCCCAGCAGCGGGGCTCACCGACTTCAGAATATTGGGTCAGACCCCCTGTCTGACGAGGCAATAATGTGTGGACCGTGAGTCGCCTCAGGGAGCCTGATTGAAAACATATTGGATGGTAGGAATGTTCACCCTGCTTATGAAAACAAAAGCAGCGAATGAATGAATAAATGTGAGAGCCCTGTGTCAAAGTGAGCCACCTGTTTGCATCACAACATGAAAAAGTAGAGTTGGATGTGTATTGAACTGAGGCTGGTGCGTTGCCACATAATCAACTGAAAGGTGCCATGAACAAAACCAATCAATGCTACGAATTAAAAATGAAATGAATGTGTGTGAGAGAGAGAGAGAGAGAGAGAGAGAGAGAGAGAGCGCGTGTGGGTGGGTGAGTCAAAGAACAGCCACTACTCTGCCTCCTCTCTCTGAATCCATGCAGCAGTTACACAATACCCCCCCCTGGGAAATGGGACTCACTCACTGTAAATTTGTTCATGCATCATCATTTCTATCCGATCCCTGTGGGCTGTTTTGCATAGATTCTCAAAAGTTTTCCTACCTTATTTTCACTATCTTATCGTGTTTGTCTGCCAACGTTATGGAAAAGTTTCCTGAAGGTCAAAAGCCCCGTGAACACAAACGTAATGACATCAGAGTAAGTTTAGAGATTTTTATAATCACATAATAAATGCGATACTGTGGGGCTGTATTCATAAAAATAACACTGACAACAGTTCCTTTCTAGTGCTTATTAAAAGTCAGTCTGCACTTGTCCACACAAGTACTGTGTTTGTACCACAGTGTGACCAATATTAACATTGAGGGAAAAGTCACCATAAGCTGAGAAATTTAACACATCCATACTGACTAGTTCCATCCTTTTCCAGCTGTTCTCAGTTGTGCCTTTGGTTTCTAAAAAAGGATCCCTTCACTTTAACTGCTTTATTTGTTATCAGCAACCTGGCTTTCTTAAAGAATCCCACCAGACATGTATTGAGACATAAATCCAAAGAGTCTGCTTGGAACAATAATTAAAATCCTTAAAAAGCCATCTTCTCATTCTGCCTCATTAAATATTCAGGAAACCATGAATATGCAAATTAGTCTCTAAAGTTTTCATGTTGGACACAAGATGTCTCCTGTTTCACTGTAAAGTCCATTCTCAGTGTATGGGCACTGGTGGCTTCAAGTTTCTACATCGCACTATATGTGCGTACTCGACCTATACTTGACTTCCAAACAATTTGTGATGTCACAAATTATCCTCGTAGCCCCCGCCCCTTAAAATAATATTTTCAGTGAGCACAGAGAAACTTTACACTTTACAGCAGATGAATGTTATAAACATCCTTCTAGCGTCAAACTGCATCATTCTGCACAGTGAAGCTCAAACATCCAACGATAGCTTTTAGTGGAGGGGGGACTTATAACATAATGATATTGTAGATGGAAGGGTTGTATTCCCTTGTGTTTGTTTATGAAATAACCTTAATATTCACTGAAGATTGAGCTATATAGTGATAAGTGCAAGTTATAGTTTCTGCTAAAGGTCACATAGTTCTGGAGGAAGGATTAGCACACTGTATGTTTTTTTCACAACACTGTAATCCGTCATGCATGCGTTGATCCAAGCAGGCGCCTTTGCGGACCAAAGGAAGTACAGTACTGTGATTTTTATCTTCTTTGACTCTAGCATTGCTTTACTTAACTTTAATTTGTGCTCAATTAAATCTTTAAATCAAATACTAGGACTTGTTGATCGTGACCACTGTGAGTAGTTTTTATACACAGACCTATGTGGGTAAGACTGTATGTCCACTCTATTAGATGGCACTATAGAGCACTAGTGGTGTCTGGCTAAGTAGTTAATGTCGCCTTATGCCAGGCCTCTATTGAACCCTTTACACTGCTGGCCTAGAGTCACACCACAGCTTAAGTCTGTGACCTGGCCTGCTATCTAACAGAGAAAGGGTATTTTTAGCTGTAGGATGGGACTGGATGGGCCGCTTATTGATGTAACAGAAGGCTAATGGAAACAGGGTTTAATTCCTCCTGTCAATCCCCTTTTATTTAGTAGTCCATATCAGGAGCATGAAAGTAAAAGCTGCAGCAAATGCATTTTTTATTTGGATGTGTTAATCTGTGGGTATATTTCTTGTTTGTATCTATGTACGCATCTGAATCCGGCAACTTGTTCACGCATCTGCTCTCTCGGCACTTCAAAATCAAGCATAAAGTATGTACCTACTGACTTTAGCAGCTGGTTGTCAAGGGCAGAACCAGAGAGTGGAAGAGAAAAAGGCAGAGAGAGGGAGAAAGAGAGAGAGAGGCTCAGTTGAAATCAACCTCTCCTTTCTCTCTAGGCCTCTCTCTCTCTCCCTCTCCAGGTTGGCCATTAGAAATCACGATAATAGGTGGGAACCTCCCCCCGGCTCTGCCTGGGAGTGTTCTGGGATAATAGCATCAGGGACACCTAGTACCATCACACAGAGGACACAGAGGCACAGGGAAGTAGGCTGGAAAACTGGAGAGACCAGGCAGTGACTGGCAGCCATGGCACACAAACATGGGCACGGGAGAGAAAGGGTGAGTCGCTACTAATGCATCACTGGGAACTCATCCAGCATACTTATTCTTAAAGATACTACATGTCCCACACACAGATGTGCCGGAGTTACTTTTGGCATGTCACAAGTTTACTGACTTCCTTTTGCAATTATGTAGGATGATTTTATATCTTATGCAACAATGTGGACCACACATAAATGTTTTTCTGTCACTTGCAACAAAAATATTCAGTCCAGTAAGTAGAGTCTTCTCCAAAAAGGCCAAGGTAATTCACAGAGCTCACCTCTGAGATAGATACTTCACTGTGTAAGAGTAGCAGAAACTGAATGCTGTCTTAAGTAACACTGAGTAATTCATCATTAATCAGATTAACCTCTTGTTTTCCTTAATGCTCTAACCACAAGATAAAGAGTCTCTGATTTTGTGGTCTATGAACTGGGGGAAGAACAACACAAGAGACTGTGCAAAACCTCTGCTGAATCCTCAAGAGTCCAAACTGATGCAAAGCAAACATAAAAGAAGTATTTTGCAAGTGTATGAGACAGAGCACACTCTCAATTGTGAAAACAGAGACATGCAGAGATCTCCTCAGTTCACACTGTCTCACAAGCTTCTTGAGTTTCTTTATACTGACACAGTAGATTGTTGAAGCCCCGGTGTCACTGCACATGGAAAGGGGGAGATAAACATACTTGGTGAATGAAGTTACTACTGTCTGAGCCATTTATGCCAGAGTTACTTTAATTCTATATTATTGAAAGTCATAGGTAACCTTGACGTTACCCATTTAGCCTCATATAAGGCAGAAGTAATCGAGCTGTGTAAAGGTATAATCCCTAGGGATCATAAATAATGTTGGTGCTGTCTGTGTGAATCCCATTCAGTCAGCTTCCACTCACGTTTGTGTGGCGACTCCCAGGTCATTGAACTACGCATTCTAGTTTACACTCAGTGAAATATCCTGTCAATGTTATGTTTAACAGTGGAAAGAATCCCTTTACGTTTAGTATTGTTTTAAAGTGTCTTCAGTGCCATAATCAGGAGCCGTACCTGTGAGACCTATTGTAGTACTGATTTCCTTCAATGCAGTGAACATCACACTCAAATGTTACCCAACTCACTGTTGTTAGTCTGGCATTCACGTGTTCCCGGATTTATCATCTGTGTGTTGTGTCAACTCAGCTGGCCTGCACGTTAGTTTTTAGTCCAAACACATACTATGGACATCTAAAATAAGAGAACAAGGAAAATCCTACGGCATTGTCACAATGAATGAAGACATTTGAAAGGATTTATCACTGAGGCAGGCAAATGAGTGTTTAAGGACAAGAACAGAGCCGTGTAGAAAGAGAATTGACTGTAACGTTGTGTTATTATGTTGCCATTAAAGAAAACATCTTGTATAAATCAGATGATCAGGAATTACAAAGTCCAAGCAGCAAGGAAGCCTTTGAATGACCTCCTTGAGCTTTCAGCATGTTCAACCCATAAAAGCACATGTAAAGCATCGATATGAGAAGACTAATATAATGAGAACTTACTCCAAAATGTTTTCACTCAACAGCCATGAAAAGGAAAGAGTGAAGACACAAAATAAGGAATATATGAAGAAATAATTCAAGAGAAATACATGTGAATGTGATTGCATGACATTTTATAATGTTGTGACACTATATAGACTTGTGAGAAAGACAAGAGACACAAGAGCATTAACATTTTAGCTTGGATTTGAGCCAATGCACTAAGCCATCCAGACACCTGTAGGATTTCTTGGAAAGGCAGTTTGAGTCTCATTGGAGTTTTAGCAACGTTGAGGTAACATTGAAACCAGTGAGCAAACGCTTCTTTTATGCAAGACAGTGTTAATACTTCCCCCTCGTTGCTAAACCTGCAGTAGCGGATTTGTTGCCAAAGCATTTGTTACATCTGTGTTTGCCAGACGTGATATTGAGTCTTGCATGGGAACAGATCAATGAAAGTCACAGGGACTAAAACTAAAACCTGAAACCCACCTGCAGACTTCCTATTTAGTAAAATGCTGAGTTTGCATCTGCCCATCTAAAAACAGGCTCTTGTAAGCAAAATAGAAGCTACAGTCCACCTGGGCTTCTACGTATGTGAAAGTATTTCTGCTCTCAGGTTGGGATTGTTGTACAAAGAAGTGGTTTTAAAATATGGGATGCACTGGGGTTTGGTACAGTAACCCCAGAGACTCGACAGTTGCGACTTTAATCTTCTGTCCGTGGCTAGTCTAGAAAATAGCGAAGCTAGCTGTGTGCAGATCCACTCTATGTGTTTCCAGGTCTTTGATCTTGGGCCCTTTGAAGGGTTGGACACGATGAACCACAGCAACAACTGAAGCTTGTGTATCTGAACAAAGCGCAAATCACAGAGCAGGAGGGAGCATCTAAAAATAGGCTCAGTTCCCTTCTTCCTGATCCACCTGTGATTTACTGTAACAGGCTCAGGTGATTTACCTTTGAAAGGACAGTTTTAGTGTCTGAAACAATGAAATGAGTCCAAATATAAACTAAAAGAGTGTGAACACATTACCTAAACATATCTTTATCACTGTTAATGTGTGACAGTGGTACGTTTTGTTCCTTGCTCTTTCCTGCTCCTCTGATTTCATGATTTCAGTGTTGACACTTAATCAGTGCATACGGACAGAAATAAGCTTTAACAAATGTCTTTTTTTGTAAACGTTGTGCACCATTTTGTTCTGGTTCTCTACAGATCCAGTTCGCTAACACGGAGGACAAACAAGAATTCAGCAAGTTCCCTACCAAGGCGGGACGCCGCTCCCTCTCTCGGTCCATCTCACAGTCCTCCACAGACAGCTACAGCTCAGGTACTGCACACCTGAAAGTTTCCATGAGATATAAAACACACACTGTATTTTATACAGATATTACTATCGGTGGACATATCCAAACTCCCAAATATTAATGTCAGTACCTGCCTTAAAAATCAAGATGTATAGCCCGGCTATACGCACAGGTAAGCAGTTGTTAATGCAATTGCAATAAAATCATATATGTGCAGTACAGGGGCATAGTGCCGGGGGGTAGACCGAAGTAAACTCGGTTTATCTGCCTCTTTGAAATGAGGCTGAGGGTTTACTTTTATGTTTATTTTCAGATCAACTGTATCAATGAATGGGGGGTATTTACCACTGCACAGGATATATATACACTCACAGGAAACACACACACATAAGCTCCACCCTAAACACAATGGATTAGAAGTGTATGTTTCATAATTGGCTCTATTGCTTTTCCACAACAGTGACCTTTTGTGTTCTCCATTTCCCAGCTGCGTCCTACACCGACAGCTCCGATGATGAGACCTCCCCCCGGGACAAAGCCCAGGTCAACACCCACGGCAGCAGTGACTTCTGTGTGAAGAACATCAAGCAGGCCGAATTTGGCCGCCGTGAAATTGAAATTGCAGAACAAGGTATATCGGACCTCTAGGGCACATACACGTTTCATTATTGATCCCCCCCCCCCCTTTCGAGATAGAAAATATGCAACATAATAATATATCTTCTTGACTATTCAGTCAAAAACGCTGCATAGGAGATGATTTAGTCAGTAAATGTGTTGTTGATGTTAAATGTTTGGTCTCATTGAATCGCTGCATTATTCTAAAAAGATGTTTTTTCTGTGATTTTATTGTGAAACAGTTTGATTAGAGACTTGCTATCATTACCATGTATACAAAGAGAGCTTTGTGCTACCTGTTGTGACTTTGTTCCCAGCTACATATCACATGGCATCAGTTCTGCTGCTTAGACACTATTTGATAAAGGTCCTCTCTTCCTGATTTCAAAATAGTTCAGGACCCAAGGGGCGTGTAGGGGAGTGTCAGTATGATTCTGAGATGTGATCGGATTTCTTTCTCTCAGTTCTATTCATTGTTACTTATTTTCTTATTTGATACCTCTTCTCCCATCTCAGGTATTTTGGTTCATAAGTCACCTCCTGTCTGTTTTTTCTCTCTGGCTGTTTACATTGCACATGTGAGTGATATGTATGCGTGAGTGTTCAACAAGTGCTCTTCAGGCTTAAACCCTGGGCAGCAACAGCTGTTGGTGACATTGCTGTTTAATCAGCCTCTATTTTACAGCCTTTTACTGCACATCCACCTTAGAAAGGGCTTCTTTTTGTATTCGAAATGGCCCACCATTCTTCTTTCTCCCAAAACAAAACATGACCTTTATTTCCTTTCCACCTTCACTAACTTCTGCTCGATCTGTTCCTCCACAGACATGTCTGCCCTGATCTCCTTGAGGAAGAGGGCCCAGGGGGAGAAGCCACTGGCTGGGGCAAAGATAGTAGGCTGTACCCACATCACTGCTCAGACAGCTGTACGTCCTCTCGTCCTGTTCACTGTAGATCACTCTGATTCTTCTCTTCTTCACCTACGCTAACTGTTCCATCGTTCCCTCTTAGGTCCTGATTGAGACTCTGGTGGCTCTCGGGGCCCAGTGCCGCTGGACCGCCTGTAATATCTACTCCACTCAGAATGAAGTGGCTGCTGCTCTTGCTGAAACAGGTAAGAGCCTCTCCTCTCTGATGTGGAAAAAATGTTTTTTGCAGCTAAATCTCATCAGAAAGTCAGCTCATAAATGGCGTTACAATTATCATGTATTATTAGGTTTTGTCATGGTTTGAGGGGTTAAACATGTATATTTCTGATAATTAAAAAATATTAAATTAACTTGCCAGTGGTTATTTTACATTACTTTAAATATTCAAAACATTATGGCTATCAATTTATCAACATAATTTGCAAATTATAATTTACACATTAACCATAATGGGTGTCTACAATGCAAAAAACATTTCTTTTTAATTTGGTTTGAAATATCTTGTGTTAGAGTAAAGTTTGATGAGTAATGCAGCTTAAAAGCAACCAATCTATGCACGTGCTTTCACTATGCAATGCTGCTCATCCTCAGCCAGTCCTCTTCTCCTCTGTGGTCGGTCTTTGCCAGTAAGTGTGTGTGTGTGTGTTTTGTTTACTGCAGGGGTACCTGTGTTTGCTTGGAAGGGTGAGTCAGAGGATGACTTCTGGTGGTGCATCGATCGCTGTGTCAACACGGAGGGCTGGCAGGCCAATATGGTATCAACCTGACAATCCCATGCTAAATCTAACACCGATCTTAGTCTTTTCTCTTCCATCTGTTCTTTCCCGTGGCTCTATTGTGCTGTCATAGATTGTGGAGGTTATCTTTCATGCTGCTATCTCTGCTGTGCCTTTTCTTAGATCTTGGACGATGGCGGAGACTTAACCCACTGGGTGTACAAGAAGTATCCCAGCGTCTTCAAAAAGGTCCGGGGCATTGTGGAGGAGAGTGTCACTGGAGTGCACAGGTGAGATGGAGCATACGATTGCTGAGTTTGGGAGTTTTAAAGGAAATGATGTTAAATGAAAGATATTTTTGTACCCTGCATCAGTTTTTGTAGTTTTGGCCACCATTTGAGGACACAGGGACTCTATTTGGTGTTGATGAGTAAAGATGGATGGTGGCCAGAGCTAAGGATGAAAAGGATTTCTCTTTTAGCGACCCATAAATTACAACATTGACACAGCTTATGACAGCGTATAATGGACTATCAATAAGAAAGACTGTGGCAATATATTTTGAGTTATTAATATTGATCAAACCTTTGGATTTATTTTATGTTCATTTTATACCGTAGGATAATGAAATCTTTCCTGCTGTGCGGTTAACACTGAAATAACTGTTTGTCATTGAAAACAAATGTGGATCGTGGTTTCATGATATTTAGCAGTATTTGTCAGCCCCTTACATAATGTATAGATCCCAATTACTGTCAGGTAATTTGACCACATGCCTGATGTTCCTCTTCTGTAAATCCAGTTTGTGTTTAGGATATGTTTTTCGTGAGTTTTAAAACTGTTCCACTCACCTGGAGCTCTTTGGAGTTCCGACTACTGATTACTACTGTTATAGCTAACAAACTATATTCGACCCACTGTTGTAGCTTAGATTAATCTACTTCTAAATCCATTTATTTTGTCCTTTAGGAGGAGCTAAGCTGAAAGCAAACCAAGCTTCCTGATGAAAGATATGTACTATATCAGGCAGCACACGCAGTATCAAAAGCAGTTATATAAGTCGTAGTAGTATCAATACACACTGACTCTGTAGATTGAAAAGGTCACTGGCCTGATTTGACTGGAGCCTGTTAGAGAAACATGACTCGAGCGCAGGTCACAGCAGCTGTGCATGTACTCTCAATGGAATCAATTATCCAGACGCTCCGGAAAGTATAAGGTCACACAGGATCACAGCTTAGTTTGTGTGCAGGATACGCACATGTGTGTTATACATGCGTGTCTGCCTGAACATGTTTCCCCCATGTGTCCTATCAGATTGTACCAGTTGTCCAAGGCTGGCAAGCTGTGCGTCCCTGCCATGAATGTGAACGACTCAGTCACCAAGCAGAAATTTGACAACCTTTACTGCTGCCGTGAATCTATCCTGGATGGGTGAGGAGAATCAATCATCGAGAAAGCTTGCCATTGTTTGCAAACATACTCCCACAGCTTAGTTTTCATAGTGTTAAGAGTTTTGTATTCAGGTCGTGCAGATGGATAAAAGTGTGTGTCATTGTGCTTGTCTCTGCCAGCTTGAAGAGGACCACAGATATAATGTTTGGAGGCAAACAAGTTGTCGTGTGTGGTTATGGAGAGGTGAATCATTCTTTGATTTTTAAAAAAATAAATCTTGCTTTTGATGGAATGAGTGAATTTTCACAGGTGCAGCAGATCTGTTTACATCTATCGCACTGTCCTGTGGTGTGTAGGTGGGGAAAGGCTGCTGCACTGCTCTGAAGGCCCTCGGAGCCATTGTGTGCATCACAGAAATTGACCCCATCTGTGCTCTGCAGGCATGGTGAGTCACTAACCATTACCACTCAGCACTGCTCCACCAGTAAATGTGCTCCCATAGTTGTGCTTTTGTCTCTACACTGTGGATAAGATTAGCAGTCATTCCACAAAGACAATTTTATGTTGTTTTTAGTGTGTTTGTGATGCCTTAACTAATGGAAATTTCTCTGTGTGTCCACACAGCATGGACGGCTTCCGAGTGGTCAAGCTGAGCGAGGTCATCCGCCAGATGGACGTGGTGATAACTTGCACTGGTACTGTGCCCCATGCAGTGACTTTCATTACTTCTGCTTTGATAATCACTGTTTTCAGCAAACACATTCACACCTCATTTAAATATGCCACTTTATATCTCTGTGTCAAACTGAGTCAGACTTCTCATCTAAATGCTAAAATGCTTTCTGGGTCCGTGTACTAGTCAGATGGCAGTATTCATAATCATTATTTACATGTAATTGTAAATCCAGTCTTATAACAGAAACTGAGGTTTCTATTTGACTGTTCACACATGAAATTACTGTTTTGGGTTTTTTTTTAGGCAACAAGAACGTAGTTACCAGAGAACAGCTGGACCGAATGAAGAATGGCTGCATCGTCTGCAATATGGGACACTCCAATACTGAGATTGATGTGGTAATGTGTGCTTTTGTATTTGCACGAGTGTTCTGTAAATATGTGTCTGGGAATTTCTATTTAAATGTGCTGAACAGACACAGTGACAGGCCGACCTTCAGTGAAAGTCTAACAAAATTAAAACATGTCTCAACTACAATATGTTTTATACAAGAAACATTTTTGGCTTTCTTGCCTTCATTAGGGTCTGAGGCTGTTTTCATTTTCCTTATCAGTCACGTGATTTATAGATCCTGGTACCCATCAGCACTAAAGTATACAAAGCAACATTATGATCATCTTTAAACGAAAACTATTTACAAAATGCTATATATTCACTCTTAGTGCAGAAGAAACTGTATTTATGCTTTCTTTCAACCTCATTTCTCAAATACATTTTTCTAAACATCTTAAAATTTCTATGATTGATATATTCAAGCCTTATGTATATTTCCAATTGTTCTACAAAAGAAAACCCTGTTCTTTGAGACAGGATTCCTAGATGTAAATGTTGCACAAATCCTGTCACTTCTATTATTCTATCTGCATTCTGTTTCAATTTGTCATGCAGTTGTAGGACTGACCTGCTTTTTATGTCCTCAGGCGAGTCTGCGCAGCCCTGAGCTGACCTGGGAGAGGGTGCGCTCTCAGGTTGACCACATCATCTGGCCCGATGGAAAGAGGGTTGTTCTGCTTGCAGAGGTAATGTGCCTTTACACTCAATTAGTTTGATGACAGCTTTTAACCCCACAATGAAACCTGCACAAAACCTAGAGTGCATCTTGCATTGTGGGAACTGTGGGATATGTAGCATGCAGGGTTCAACCTTGGGTTACATTCAAATATAAAAAGGCCTGCAGGTGTCCGACTGTAACAGTTACTGTGTGCTCTGTGGTTCATACAACAGCTGCATACTTCAGTGTTATCCCTATTTGTGTCACACTGTAACTTCTAACTGATGTCGCTTCAGTTTGCTTTAGTGTCTGTTCAGAGTCAGTTTCTACAGCACAGTTCATACCTGTGCTCTGTCATTTCTCAGGGTCGTCTCTTAAATCTGAGCTGCTCCACAGTGCCTACGTTTGTGTTGTCCATCACTGCAACAACTCAGGTGAGTAGTTTGGTCCTTTCTGAGGACACACTTTTTTTACTCCTCATTATTTTAACCTGCTGTTCCGTAGTAACATGTAGTATCCTTACAACAATTGTGTGGTCTGTGTTGTCTGTAGGCCCTGGCCCTGATTGAGTTGTTCAATGCTCCAGAGGGGCGTTACAAACAGGATGTGTATCTCCTGCCTAAGAAGATGGGTAAGAAAAAGCAGACAGTTTACAATTGTTCTGTGCTTTGATCAATCAATCAATTATATACATTGGTTTAAAAAGCAGTTTCCATGGCTTACTTTTTGTATTGCTCATTATTGCCACCTTGTGATTTGTTCTAAAAATTGCATCATGAAGGGAAGATCTCTCCAGACAGTGTAGATTCCAATCTGTGTCTTTCCTCCAGATGAGTATGTGGCCAGTTTGCACCTACCAAACTTTGATGCCCACCTGACAGAGCTCTCTGACGAGCAGGCCAAATACATGGGCCTCAACAAGAACGGCCCTTTCAAACCTAATTATTACAGGTAGGTTTTTACCTATCATCCTCCATTTCCTGTATTTTTAACATGATGTGTTAGAGGTTGAATACACATGTGTACAATAACACTGTATTTTGTTTGCAGGTATTAATGAGACTGTCTGACTGATGGCGTGATCCTCAACACAGAGTTGCCCTGGGATAAACAGAGAAATCTATTTTATTTTCTAAATTGCTATAAAACGGAGGAATTATTTTACTTATGCTGAATGTAACTTATTAATAGCACTTCAGACATGGTGTTACATATGAAAAATAAGAGTAAGACTTGTAGGAAACATACAATGTATAACCAACTAACATTTTACATGTCTCGTCACGTGTTTAAAAGAAAAGCCTGCCTGCATGCTTTCATGTGTATGTACTTATTTAGTTGCTAATGCTTCTGTTACTAGATCACAAAGTTGTTCGATTTGTTTGTTTACCCTACGCACAGTGCCAAATGATGGCCGTAAGAATGGAACAGATTTATGTTTTGTTTGTTAACAACATTAAGATTTTATTAGTACATTCCATGAGCCGGGGTTCGGGCTGAGCCAAATAAACTGTATTACAATGTACATTATTTTAGAAATGTTTGCTGTACATTTGTTAAATAATCTCATTGAATGGTATCTGCATACATGCCCTAAAAGGTAACATCCAGTCATCATTACAAGTACAGTGATGAAATATAGCACTTATATAAACAGTATGATCCAATGTTGTTTTTTTTAAGAGTTTATACTAGCCCGTGAAAGGCTCAGTGCATTTTAAATTCCTGACTCTTGGTGTTGGCATTCAACACTCTCCCTAAATAAATAAAATGATTTCAAAACACACTGGGCTTCTCCTGAACAAATGTGAACCAACAGGATGTCTAATGTGCTAAGATGTTAGGTTATGTTGAAGATAATAAGCTGTATTCATTCCTAAAAAGGAAGCACTGAAAAGATTGAGGAGAAGGAGCCAGCTAAACGTTTTCAACTATCATAACTTCCCTCATTTAATACCAAGTTTCCATTTGCTCACTCAGATTCCAGCTGAGATCTGTCTGACTGAAGAGCAACGTGGTCCACTATAAAGTGTTTTGACTGGATAATACCTTTAAGGCCATGGTATGAATGTGCCTTTTAAATCATTCACAACACGTAAATATCAGCACTGACCTTAATTAAAAGACCATTCCTCTTTTGTAAAACCACATCTATTAGTGGTACATTTAATGTCTTCCTTCTACTGCTTCTGGTAATAATTGTAACTCTATATCTTCTTTATATGTTGAGAAAAAATATTAGACTTTATGTTTGCCATATGATTGTCGCTGTCTTAATTTGATCCCACAGGGTCACCTAAATTAATATTTCATGTGATCAAAATGCATAAGTGTATACTATGTATGTAAAAGAATGCATTAAAATAGCAATAAAGCAAGTTCTTTTACCAGAGGAAAGTAACTTATGCGTTTATGTCAAGAAAAAAGAACTCAGAGAATGAAAGAGAGAGGCCTCTTCAGGTCAGTTGTTTTTGGGGATAAAGCTTGCTTTCAGGGCTGCTAGCCGTGCCTTACTACTGCATTCACTACATTGTATTCCCTTGTAGTCAGCCCTGCTGGCCAAGCGTCAGACTACTGTCCCACTCTGGAATATTCACCGGCTCTCGCGCACCAGGGCAGCTGCATTAGTTGCTAATATTAACAGCTGCGTCACTGACCGAGGAGGACGGGTAGGGGGGGCCGAGAGTCTTCTGGAAACCTGGTTGTAACTATATAAGCAAAGGCCCTGAGTCAGTCCAGGCATAAGAAGAACCACACAGAGGCAAAAGCTCAAGGCACAAAGGAAACTGCGCAAGGAGACTCTGCTGAGATCCTTCAACATCTTAGCTCTACAGAGAGATTATCACTGAAAGTAAGTAACATTATCAGATTGTAATTAACTTAATTTGAATGGAAACATCAGTGCAGCCTTCTCTTTGTATGATATATCTGTGATGGTTTAGGGTGCATCCTCTTTCATCCACTAAAAGATAACATAAAAACTTGCCATTACTAATGCATCCATTCTGCTTTATATTATGTCTTTATTAATGTTGGTATTAAGTTAATTTCACAGTACATCAGAGTAACAGTTGAATGTCAGTATTTAATTATAAGACAGGTGTTAAAATTACTTAAGACTTGCAGTCTGGGACATTTTCAAAATTGAAAAGTTTCTAATTTAGGGACTACATTAATCAAAGAGAAAGTGTAACCATTTATTACCATTATTATTTATTTATATTTTCACTGTGGAGCAATTACATTAGATTAAACTTGTGCCATGGAATAATATGTTCAGCAGTGCATAACTAATAATTATAATAATGTTTTACTGTCAGTGTTTACTTAATTTTGCACTGAACCTCTAACATATACAAATAGATGGATAAAATCATCATTGACATCAATAATGTAGTAATTTTGAATTAGTTCAGCTGCACTGATCGGCATTAGAAAATTAAAACTTTTGTTCTCCTATTTCTTCTAGAGACTCTAAAGCAAGATGTCATCAGCAAAGGGAGTATCTATTGGCATTGATCTGGGCACCACCTATTCTTGTGTCGGTGTTTTCCAGCATGGCAAAGTGGAGATCATCGCCAACGACCAGGGCAACAGAACCACTCCCAGCTATGTGGCCTTCACTGACACAGAGAGGCTCATTGGAGATGCTGCCAAGAACCAGGTTGCCATGAATCCCACCAACACAATCTTTGACGCTAAACGTCTCATTGGGAGAAAGTTTAACGACTCCATTGTCCAGTCCGACATGAAACTCTGGCCATTCAAGGTGATCAGTGATAATGGAAAGCCCAAAGTCCAGGTTGAGTACAAAGGGGAGACTAAGGCCTTTTACCCAGAGGAAATCTCCTCCATGGTCCTAGTTAAAATGAAGGAGATCGCTGAGGCCTACCTGGGACAAAAAGTGTCAAATGCGGTCATCACAGTTCCCGCTTATTTCAACGACTCCCAGAGGCAAGCCACCAAGGACGCCGGGGTGATCTCTGGACTGAATGTTCTGAGGATCATCAACGAGCCCACAGCAGCAGCCATTGCTTACGGCCTGGACAAAGGTAAAAGAGGGGAGCGCAATGTGCTCATCTTTGATCTTGGTGGAGGCACCTTTGACGTGTCCATCCTGACCATCGAGGACGGTATCTTTGAGGTGAAAGCCACCGCGGGAGACACACACCTTGGCGGGGAGGACTTTGACAACCGGATGGTCAACCATTTTGTAGAGGAATTTAAAAGAAAACACAAGAAGGACATCAGCCAAAATAAGAGAGCAGTGAGGAGGCTGCGCACAGCTTGTGAGAGAGCGAAGAGGACCCTGTCCTCTAGCACCCAGGCTAGCATTGAGATCGACTCTCTGTTTGAGGGCATCGACTTCTACACCTCCATCACAAGGGCACGCTTTGAAGAGCTCAACTCCGAGCTTTTCAGGGGAACACTGGAACCAGTTGAGAAGGCCCTGCAAGATGCCAAGCTGGATAAGTCCAGAGTCCATGAAATAGTCCTGGTTGGTGGCTCCACAAGAATTCCCAAAATCCAGAAGCTTTTGCAGGACTTTTTTAACGGCAGGGACCTGAACAAGAGCATCAACCCAGATGAAGCCGTGGCCTACGGTGCTGCTGTCCAGGCTGCTATCCTCATGGGTGACACTTCCGAGAACGTCCAAGATCTGCTGCTGCTGGACGTGGCTCCCCTGTCTCTGGGCATTGAGACTGCAGGTGGAGTTATGACGCCTCTAATCAAACGCAACACCACCATCCCCACCAAACAGACCCAGACCTTCTCCACATACTCGGATAACCAGCCAGGTGTGCTGATTCAGGTGTACGAGGGTGAGAGAGCCATGACCAAGGACAACAACCTCCTGGGCAAGTTTGAGCTCACAGGTATCCCTCCAGCTCCCCGAGGTGTACCACAGGTGGAGGTAACTTTCGACATCGATGCCAACGGCATTCTGAATGTGTCCGCCGTCGACAAAAGCACCGGCAAAGAAAACAAAATCACCATCACCAATGACAAGGGCCGCCTTAGCAAAGAGGAAATAGAGCGGATGGTACAGGACTCTGATAAGTACAAGGCTGAGGACGACATGCAGAGGGAGAAGATTGCAGCAAAGAACTCACTGGAGTCATACGCCTACCATATGAAGGGCAGTGTTGAGGATGAGAATATGAAAGGAAAGATTAGCGAGGAGGATAAAAAGATGGTCATTGACAAGTGCAAGCAGACAATCTCCTGGCTGGAGAACAACCAGCTGGCAGAGAAAGATGAGTATGAGCATCAGCAGAAAGAACTAGAGAAGGTGTGCAAGCCGATTGTGACCAAGTTGTACCAGGGAGCAGCACCACCAGGAAGCTGCGGCAGCCAGGCAGACGGCAGCTCCAAGGGCCCCACTATTGAGGAAGTGGATTAAAACCATGGGCGTCTTGTTTTGTTTACAGAAAAACTTGGGTCTTATCCCTATTGTTTCGTACTAAAAATTATGTAAATTCACATTCTTGTTTCTTGACATGCCAATAAAAATACTTTAAAGAACAAAATTCTCTTCAATTTGTTCTTGTAAAGCACAATTTAGAGATGATGTTTGATAACTGATAAATGTTATCAAAAAGTTTTTTAATTGATGCATCATCACTTTTCAACAAAACCTAGATTAATGACATCGTACAGCCAGGGGTTAGAGTTTGGTTTTAGCAGCTTGTACGACCCACACAGTCCTTACTCGCTGTGTTTGTGCACAGTGAGATACTGTAAACTATTTCATAGTAGTGTACTATATATTCAATCAAAAATTACAGTAGTCAAAGAGTTACTGTCACAGTTATGAAGTTGCTACTGTAAAAAAATCACAGTAGCTGATAATGTCCTGTAGGAAATCATAGTATCAATAATATCAAGTAGAAAATCACAGTCAGACATTTTGCAGAAAATCACAGGAACCATTTATGTACAATGAATTCATTTTTTAATCATTTTCCTAGAAATGACAAACTCTAAAATAAGAATAATATAAGAATAAATGAAATTGAAAGAGGGTCTGAAATGGATTTGCTAAAGTACGTTAAGTGAAATAACAGCTGAATTGAATTATATGCATTATACAACCTAGATGACAAACCTAATGCAGTTAAAGTAGTTTATTTAAAATGTGTGTACTTAACCGTTAACTGTAAATGTACTGGATATACAGTATTTTACATATCCCTTCCAAATGCAAATGAGTGCAAACTGTTTCTAAGAAGAGAGCAGGTTTTGGGCCTTCACTTGTTCTTTGGCTGTGAGCAACACACTTCTTCCACACACTATTTTTCAGACTATTGCACTTGCTTTTAGTACTTGAACACTGAAGTGCCCCCTCCTATGAGATGAAAATACCAGCAGTGGCCCCAAGCCAAAGTTTGAGACCCCTGCTTGTTGAACATGTTATTCACTGAAAGACTCTCTTACTTGCTTGTAGCAACACGCACTGGAGGACTCCAGAGCTACCTGTTGGATCCTATGGTTGGATCCCACTTAGCAATAGCAGAAATAGCCTAATCCCTGTAACATAAAGAGTGATGGAATTATCTCATTTAAGAGGTCTTTTATTGCCATGTCGTTGTTTCTGTGCTGAAATTCTGCACACAGTATTAATATTACTCCATCAATCAGTGTGCGCAAGTAACCCAATGCAATAAGCACGGGAATAACAAAAGGTAGACACCGCAATACATTGTGCTCTGTGCTGCTTGCACTTTCTGCTATCGGTCCTCTGCATGACTCATAATTTTAAGCTTTTTTTGTGCAAATGTTGCGCAGGTCAGCATGTATCCACGATGATCCACACACACAGACACACACACACACGCGCAGACAAACGCACACACTTCATCAGCCCATCCTCTCAGTCTGATTAGAGGGAGTGGTTCAATAATGCGCCAACCTCCGCCAGCAGCCAAAGAGTTAAACTGTCGAGCCTGTTGTTGAGCGCACCATCCAACCGGGCTGTGTCGCTAAGGGAAGATAGGCTACTTGTGGAGAAGCAACAGATCCCCAGCTGGAAAACAACCCCACATCTGGCACGGGAGCTGAGCGTTTTTCAACCGGAGGAACCGGAGCAATATCTCCGCGCGTCATTAAATGCGCATCTGGATCCTTCTCAGGCTTCCTCGTCTGGTGTGGAGAGAAGAGAAAAGTTGTCGGGAACAGTTTGGGGTTTTTTTTTGCGTTGCAGAATTTAGATAAGATCTGTGGGAAAAGGTGGTGAGGAGTGACACATTACTTCAGGCGAAGTGGTTCATCCTATAGGTCCGTACTACTACTGCGTAATTAGCCAATATACATGCATCTTTTATTGGCAACAGCCTTGGGTTAATGAGCGGGAAGTGAGTGCAACATCTGTAAGCATCAATGTGTGTCAGTTTGTCCAACCTATTCGACGAAAACATTAACACATCACTCACGGTGAGCCTGACCGACGGAACCAGACTGAGTTCTGTAACAGGTGGTTTTTATTGAGCGTCTCACTTTGGCGCTGTCTGGACTATTAGGCTCTCATTTGTCTATTTATTTATTTTTAGGGGTGGGGGGGGATAAATGAGACCCACAGATAATTATAAGGACTGGGGTCTGAAATGAGGGCGCACTTTGCGTTAATTTTCTGATTGTTTTTTGGACACCAGTTTCGAGCAGCCAGAAGGTCCCTGCTTCTCAATGATAAGCTCGGTGTGTGTTTCGTCGTACCGAGGGCGGAAGTCGGGCAACAAACCTCCGTCTAAATCATGTCTGAAGGAGGAGATGGCCAGAGGGGAAGACTCCGACAAAATTATCATCAACGTGGGCGGCACTCGACATGAAACCTACAAGAGCACCCTGAGGACCCTGCCGGGGACCCGCCTGGCATGGCTGGCAGACCCGGACACGCAGGTCAGCTCTGACTCGGACGCTGCGCCCCCGAGTGCCACCGAGTTCTTCTTCGACAGACACCCGGGCATCTTTGCCTACGTGCTGAACTATTACCGAACCGGCAAGCTGCACTGCCCGGCCGACGTCTGCGGGCCGCTCTTCGAGGAGGAGCTGGCGTTTTGGGGGATTGACGAGACCGACGTGGAGCCATGCTGCTGGATGACCTACCGGCAGCACCGGGACGCGGAGGAGGCCCTGGATATATTTGAACCGCCGGACCCGGACGACACCGATGATGACAGAGAGATACCGAGGCGGTTCGGCATCGAGGACTGCCCGGACAGGTCGAGGGGATGCTGCGAAGTTTGGCAGCCGAAGGTCTGGGCCTTGTTTGACGACCCCTACTCTTCCAGAGCCGCCAGGGTGAGTTCACCAGGTGTTGGGCAGTGATATCTCAGTGAGACCTTAAAGCCTGCAGGTGATCTTCCATTTAGGGAAAAAAAAGGTCGCACATGTTGTCCAAATCAACAGGTTTCCTCTACGAGGTTCAGACAATCAGACTGCAACAGTTACATCTACTTAAATCGTTCAGGTTTTTATAGATCACCCCTCACAAAGAGGATTCCCATGTGCCAGATGTTTCAGTCTAACTTCTAACCTGCTGTCTGGCTGCTGTCTGAGGGGTCAGGAGCACAATTCAATTTCAATTTATTTCATATCACCAGGACAATCAATCAATCAATATCAATACTGCTCACTGAGTCCTCCTGGATTCATAAAGTAAACACATGACACAATAAAACCATTAAACATTATTAGCTATAAGATGATTTCAGTTTACTCCTCAGTGGCCTCAGATTTCGTAGTAAAATCCACAATATCACAGTATGATGATGTGAGTGTGTAAGTAATGACACTTTTCATGCATCTCATCTGCAGTTTTTCATCCTGGCAACACCAACATCCATGTGACTGACTATCAGTTTCAAGTTGAGGCTGGATGAGGTTCTTTGTATGGACAGAATGTTTTTTTTTTTTATGACATTTGTGCTGTCTGGCCAAAGTACACACTTTCACATTTTTTCATTGACTGTTTCCAGGCATAGACACACTCACACAGGGATTGAACATCCTAAAAAGTGAAGCACAGTGAGCCTCCTCGTTATGACTTTGATCATGTTTTAAACAGTTTAGAGGAACATCTTACAAACATTTTCTTATTTGGATATAAAGAAGTCTTTATGCTGCAGCAATCAGTGGTACTTCAGGCACATACAAATTTGTGGCAACAGCTTGGGGGAAAACCCTCTCCGGTTTCAAGTGTCCTTGTGCACAAAGTCAGGTCTATAAAGAAAATGTTTTCCAAGTTTAGTGTGGAAGAATTTGCCTGGCCTGCACAGAGCCTCGACCTCAACCCCATCCAACACGTTTGGGATAACCTAGAATGCAGACTGTGAGCCAGGCCTCGGCCTCACTGTTGCTCTGTTGTCTTGTGGCTGACAGACAGGTTCCAAAATCTTGTAGAAAACCTTCCCAGAATAGTGGAGAATGTTATAGCAGCATTTTAACACCCATGGCACCCAAATAGAAACAGAAACAGAAACACAAATAGATGTGCAGTATTTGGGGTATGAGAGGGTTTGTGCTGCTTTAAAAAGTGCTGTCAGTCACAGATAAACAGCATGTAAAATGGGACATATTTAACCATAGGTGACTACTGAAACACGTATCAGCTCAAAAATATGTTTATGAGAAACTCATAAAATTAGGAAACGTCTTGAAGCATCTAGCTGATATAACAATGTCAAGTATGTATTTTGAGCTGTTAACATTAGGGTAGTGTGTCTTTGAGCTAAAGTCGTTGAAAATAGTTATAAATCATAACAAATGTATTTATTTATTTGAATTCTCTCATTCTTATAATGCATTTCAAGGCCTGCGCTCTTTACAGACAACTCAGTGTTTCTTCCAGTCATGTGAATAAGCATCTCACTTAAATATTAGTTATGAAATTGTACCAAAATGCTGGAAATAGAGAAAATGCTGTTTCATGGCAAAAATACAGTGCTGCTGAAGTGTTCCCACACATCCAGTACAAGGTTTGCACTCAAAGGTCCTCAAAACACGAGTGTTTGAAATGCTTCAAGAGTTCACGTCCATGTACAGTAAATCTCTGTATATTTAACAGAACAACGAGGTCTAAATACACATATTAGGGGAAAATAATCATCCATTTAACTCAAAATTAAGAATCTTCATCTTCAATGTTGAGTAAAACGCCTCTGCGCTATTTCAGGTGGATTTCTGCTCATTTGTGAATATTTTACTCAAAGATTGTTATCCTGTCACGGCACAAAGTGTTGGTTCTGTTCAGTACGATTTTAACATACACAAGACCTCCTGCAAAAAAAATGATCTCAGTTTCTCATTTTATCCTGATGAACAAGATACACTTCTGTTTGGTTCATCGATAAAATAAATGTGTTGTGTGCTGTGTTGTAAATTAAAATCAATTTGCTCTCTTTTCTTCCACGGGGGATATGAGCCAGCTGTAAGCATTTGAAAGTATGCTATGCCTAATGGCTTAGCAACAAAGGCAGCAGAGTGCTTAGTGAAGTAAACGTGAAAGCAAGTATCGAGTGTCACTATAGCCAGAGTCGTCAGGCAAAGGGCCAGGAACTTTCATCAAAAAGAAAAATACATTTAGTCCAGAGAAGAGCGGCTGATGCTCACTCTAATTTGTGTTTGCCTTGTTTGTGGAGTTGAATGGTCTATTCAGAGACTCGCCGAGTGTTGCAGAAGTATAATGTTCTTATTGCATGCCAGGCACACTACAAATAGTGTTTATTTTGGCTTCTTGTCCAGGTGGCATTTGCATGCTGTCACTGTAGAACAACCAACATCTCTGAGTCACAGCTGCCGTCAGGCTGCTGCCATCTGAAGATGACCGCGCTGTGCCTGCCAGCTTATCTTGTCTCTCACCGCTGAATATCTGTAAATGAGTCAGATGTGAATCTTTCTGGAAGTATGTAATAAGAACAAGTGAGGGCAGATACATATTGACCCCGGTCATAATGTTCTTTGTCCATTTCCTCTCCAGCTGATTCATGTACATATGTTTGCTCTGTGTGCATTCTGAAAGGATGCAGAGTGCATTTCGAGGGACTCACGTTACCTTTATGGCTGTCTATTTCAAAGCGCCTCCGAGCTCATCTCAGGTAATGTGAGTCTTGAAAGCCGGAGGGAAGTTAATCTGTCCATCATTCTAGCCACATCCACCGAACTGCAAGACTGGAGGAGCAGTTCTGTGAAAGCATGAAGCCTCCATACTAATGATGGCGCCACTCACAAATCAAAGACATGAGAGGATCATAAACGTCTGTAGCATACAGTGCGGTCAGATTGTACTGGAACATTATTGGTCCCTTACTCTAGCACATTAGAGCTAAAGTGAAACAATGACTGTGAGATCAAAGTTCGGACTGCTTCAATTTGTTGTCCTTGTTGGCCCCGATAGGTGGTATGGTAATGTCGATCAGTCAGTTGTCCACCATGTAAAGCAACTTCAGTTCGACTGAACATCTCAACGACGATGAGATGGTTTGCTGTGACATTATGTACAGATATTCGTGGTTCCCAGACAATGTATGCTACTGACATTGGTGATTCCCTGACTTTTCCAATACCTTTTTTTAATCAACAAATATCTGGTCACACATGCAGCTCTTTGTGACAGAACCTCTCAGTATGCTAACAGTTATCTGTTGTACCCTAGAGAAAGTCAGTCCTTATTCCTTCTGTAAGTACCTGTGATCAAAAATGAAAAAATGGTGTCAAATAATTGTCTCATGCTAAATTCCTATGCTGCATAAGCGCATACAAGTGCGTGTGCATGAATGTGTGGTACACTTAAGGGTCCTGGGTTTGGGGGTTTGAAAATATGGTCACCCTAATTTCGTGCCAAAGTAACAGCGAGGATGTAGACTTTACAAAGTCCTTCCAATTTAGGGCACAGAAAGTAATTGGATAAGTTAAAATAAACTTAATCAAGTCATCATTATTCACATTTGGTTGTAAACCCTTAATTATAAATGACTCAGAAACATCAGCAGACGTCCTGGTGACGCTTCGCCAGGTATGTACCGCATGTTCTAACCTAATTTCATGCTCACCAGATATGGACATGAACACTCTCAAATACCTTTAAAGCTGAAAGCCAGAACATTAACCTCAGAGTGATTGTTTCACTTTTAAACCAAATTACTGGAGCACCTGACATTGCCAGACCAATTTGCAAACGCGAATTAGTCTGGAAGCTCTCACTTGATTTTTGATTTCCAACGGGCGGTTTGGTTCCTAGAAAAGGAGCACAGAGACAAAACAATAAATACATATAATTGTTCTAATTGTAATTAGAAATACATGCGGTTAATTTAAATAGTGCCTGACAATACATTATTGCAGTGTAAACACCACAGAGCTTTATCATACTGACGGTGTACCAGGCTTCGTAATTTCAGTTTTGTTATATGTGACAATTAGACTTGACATTAAAGCCCAGACGTGATAACGTTGTTCAATCTCCCCTAATGCAATATTTCATGAATTCCACAGCCCTGCTGCCTGCAATTAATCACTGCTGTGGTAATGGGCTGCAACTTGTTATCAGTGGTGAGCAATTAAAACTGCCTTTCCCACAGAAAAGAGCGTCGTATTTTATCCCACATAGAGGAAGAAATCAATTTGTCTTTGTTGTGAGACCAAGGGATTCATTGATGTGGGATTCTTGAGGTCTGATGCATATTATGTGAAGTCTAAATTTTCAAAAAACGATCTACTTTGGCAATATAAAAAGTTGTTTTTATTGATTGACATTTATATTTAGACTTATTGCCTGGATTAGATACCATGGTTTTTCATTTGTCAGGTTGTTTATTGTCAAATTAGAGATGTTTAAAGACATTCATCCTTTCTTAATTATTATTGATTAGATATAGATATACAAATTGATTATATATCTGGTATTGATTTGTCTAACCTCTAATAAGAACTAAATATTGACATCTTATTATTATCTCATTGTCTTCAGGGAATCATCAGTGTATTCCCACCTGGATTTTTGGACAGAAAGTTTCACCACATCTTCTTCAAAAGCTCATTTCGGCTTTTAGGGTTGAGGTTATAGAGGAAAACAATTAAAATTGATTTAATAAAGAAAATATTGGTCAATATCTTTCAATAAGTTGCTTTGCTCACTGCTGATAATTAAACCTATTCTCACACGTCACATTCAGTATCAGTGTGACACCCAGCTGATAAATAATCAAGGAGCATTTTGAGCAGAACCTCTTGTTCCTTTGAGCCTGGTTTTCACAGCACTGACACCTTTTCACTGCGGCTCCGTGAATGAAACAGGATTTGAT